CCTTCTGTACTGACCATTGCAGTGACATGGCCACCGTTCCACTAGGGACAGGACCTGCTGTCCTTGCAGCTGTGGTGACACGGCCACCATTCCAGTAGGGACATTCTGTCCTGGCCACTGCGGTGACACGGCCGCCGTTCCACTAGGGACAGGACCTGCTGTCCTGGCCACTGCGGTGACATGGCCACCATTCCAGTAGGGACATTCTGTCCTGGCCCCTGTAGTGACACGGCCACCGTTCCAGTAGGGACAGGACATTCTGTACTGACCATTGCGGTGACATGGCCACCGTTCCACTAGGGACATTCTGTCCTGGCCACTGCGGTGACACGGCCACCGTTCCAGTAGGGACAGGACCTTCTGTCCTGGCCACTGAAGTGACACGGCCACCACTCCAATAGGGACAGGGCCCTGGAGCTGCTCAGGGATGGGACAAGGATGGGACCTGATGTCCTGAAAGAATTTGGGACCAAATCCCCATTCCAGTAGTGCCAGAGCCACTGGATCTGCTCAGGGATGAGGAACAGGAACAGAACCTGTTGTCCTCACAGAATCCGGGATAGAATCCCCATTCCAGTAGAGCCAGAGCCCCTGGATCTGCTCAGCTCCATGGGGACAAGGACAAAGCCTTTCCTGGGTCTCGGCTCCATCCGGTGCCAAGCAGGACCTGCTGCATTCCTGGGATTGCTGGCAGATCCCACATCCCGCTCACCGCGCTCCCGTGCCTCTGGAATGTCCTTGTGCCTCTGGAATGTCCTTCCCAGGCCTCTGGAATGTCCCCGTGCATCCGTCCTGCTGCCTCTCTCCATGGACTCCAGGGCTGGGAATGCGCCCTGAGCTCCCCAGGCTCCCCCTTCCTCCAGCTCCTGAGGGAATAAAGGGATTTTTTTTTCTGGAGCAGCTCCGTGATTATTCCTGTGAGGAGCTGGGATGGGGAGGGCTGGATGAACAGATGGGAAACCCCAGAATTCCAGAGGCTGGGAAGGGTAAACATCAGAATTCCAGAGGCTGGGAAGGTGAAACACCAGAATTCCAGAGGCTGGGAAGGTGAAACCCAAATTCCAGAGGCTGGGAGGGTGAAACACCAGAATTCCAGAGGCTGGGAGGGTGAAACCCCAGAATTCCAGAGGCTGGGAAGGGTAAACACCAGAATTCCAGAGGCTGGGAAGGTGAAACCCAAATTCCAGAGGCTGGGAGGGTGAAACACCAGAATTCCAGAGGCTGGGAAGGGTGAAACCCAAATTCCAGAGGCTGGGAGGGTGAAACACCAGAATTCCAGAGGCTGGGANTGGGACTGGGATCAGTGGAACTGAGACCACTGGGATTGGAGAGCTGGCACAGGGATTGTTGGAACTGGGATCACTGGGACGGGGATTGTTGGAACTGGGGAACACGAATAAGAATTGTTGGAACTGAACTGGAATCACTGGGACTGGGATCACTGGGACGGGGATTGTTGGAACTGAGGAACAGGAATAGGGATTTTTTGGAATTGGGATCACTGGGACGGGGATTGTTGGAACTGGGGAACAGGAATAGGGATTTTTTGGAATTGGGATCGCTGGGACTGTTGGAACAGGGGAACTGGAATAAGGATTGTTGGAACTGAACTGGAATCACTGGGACAGGAATTGTTGGAAGTGAACTGGGATTGTTGGAATTGGGATCACTGGGACAGGGCAAATCCTACTCCTAAATCCCAAACCCCATCCTAAACGTGACCCCTCTCTCTCTGCTTTTATGGTGCCAAAAGATTCCTGGAATTTACAAAAATCATGGAATTCCTCCCTTTGTGTCCCTCTCCTGGATGGTTTCTTTATTTCCTGAAGCTTCTGGAAAATCCCAGCGAATACCTGGGAAAAGGAGAGGCTCTGAATTGAAAAAAAAAAATCAGAAAATCAAATAATTCTGTTAAAAAGATGCAGGAGGGGAAAGTTAAGGAATTTAAAATGTCTCATCCTCAGCTTGGTCCAAATCCCTGCATTCCAACTGATCCACAAACCCCAAAAATCAAAATATCAAACAAAAAATAAGCAGAATAAAAGGATAAAAATAAGCAAAATCTCAATTCAATCAAACCAAGAAGCTTCTGTAATGCCACAATTGCATTTAGCAAATGGCAAAGTTTGGATTTTTATTTAAAAGCAAATTTTGGGGTAAATTTGAGCTTAATTCAGGATTTTTGCTGTGTTGAAGCTGACGTAGGCCAGACCAATAAAAAGCTTCTGAGAGCAGCTGCAATTTAATAATTCATCATTAATAATTAATAATTTCATAATTCATAATTGTGCAATAAGAACTTGGGCAAGCCAAGGCTTCTCCCTTTCTCAGCTGCTCAGAATTCCTGAAAATCCCTGAAAAACACCCAGGAACTGTAAAAAATAAAAAAAAAGGAAGGGTTTTGGGGGTTGGGGAAAATTGGATTTTTTGGGAAAAAAAAAAAATTGAAAGGAAAAGACTCCCTGAGATTTTCCTCATCTTTGGGCCAGTTTGGGCTTGGATTTCTGATTTATCTGTAAGCAGGAAAGAATTTAAAAAATAAATTAAAACCCATTAAAATTAGTTGGAAATGCACAAAATTTAACCTCAGGAGAAGCTGCACCCTAAAAAAAATAAATTCATATTTAAATGNCCAGCCCCTTCCCGCTCCACAGCAGCAGCCCCTGCGTCGCCTCCGTCTTGATGCTCAGCTCAAAGTGGTTGGACTGCAGCGCCTTCTCACTGCGGGGAAACGCCACGGGCAGCTCCTCCTGCAGCCTCCCCCTCATCATCCTCCTCTTCCTCCTCCCTGGGGGATGAACTCCCCGCCCGTCCCCACCTGCTGGCCTGGAGGGTCACGGCTTTGGGACAATCTACACTGAACAGATCAGGGCTGGGACAGCCCCGGTCCCACTCCTGGGATACACAGGAAGGGTCTGTGCCCACCTGCTGCCCTCAGGGTGGCAGATTTTGGGATCATCTCCATCCTACTCCTGGGGTTGGGATACACAGGAAGGGGATTCTTTGGAGATTCCTTGCTTTTCTCCTCATGGAGCACAAGGATCAATCCCTGCCAGCTGTGACACAGCAGCTGTGGCACCCCAGGGACGGTCACAGGAAGGGCATGGAGGCAACAAAACCTTTTCCCAAGGGAGCAGGGAAGGAAAGATAGGATTTTCCCCAGGTTGCAATCCTGATTTTTGCCTCTGGAACAGGCACGAGGCTCCTGGCAACAGCTGGAGTGGACACACAGAGACACCACAGACAGCTTTTTATTCCTGAGGGATGCTGCATCCAGAGGGTGGGACATGGTCCTGCTGTCCCTGCAGGGTCCCTCAGCCTGGTGGCACTTTGCCGTCCCCCCTGGGCAGAGCTCGTCCCTCACGGATAAAAAGCCAGGACAGGGACACAGAGGACACACACAGGGACACAGGGACATGCTGAGGCACGGGCAGAGCAGGGCACAGGCACACCTGGGCACTCACCTGGGCTCCGAGGGGAAATCCAGTGCCTCGGGACTCGATGGGAGAAAAGGGGAGTGAGCCATAAGCGAGGGACAGCGAGGAGACCCTGCCTGCCTTCCTCTCCTTTCTCCTGTCCCTTTCCTTTCTCTTTTCCTTTCTTCTTTCCCTTTCCTTTCTCCTTTCCTTTCCTTTCCTAGAGCTTCCCTGGAAGAGGAAAAATCCTCTTTCATGGGCATCCAGACCCAGCAGGGGATTTGGGAGCAGCACAGCCCAAACTGGCTGGGAAGAGCCTGGGGAAAGGCTGGGAATGGTGACATTCCCTCTGCAGGGACACACAGCAGCAGGGATGTGGCTCAGGGAGGGCACACAGGGACAATTCTGAGCTCACACTGCTGGAGGGCACTGCCCAGCCTAGGAGGATGCTCAGGATAATCCTGAAATTCCTAAAAATCCCTTGCAGCCCCTCCCAATGGTGTGGACATGCAGGTGGTGGCTCTGCAGCCCCCCATGCACAGGCACAGCTCAGCCCCCACACAATGAGGTGGGATGGGGTGGGATGGGATGGGACAGGCAGGGATCCCCCCAAATTCCCCCCTTCCCACAGCAGAGAACGCTCCCGCACAGAGCAGGGAATTTTGGGATCCCTTTTAGGGCTTCCCTTCCATACAAGACAGACCCAGAGCAAATCTCAGCTGTCCAGGGATTGGGATTTGTCCCCATCCTCGTGCCCTGACCCTTTTTCTGACCCCTCATCCGCACTGGAGATGTTTTGAGGGGTTCCACATCCACACTGGAAAAATCAAGGATCAGCACCCCCAGTTTCCATCTCCAACACCTCAGGCTGCTGCTGGAGCAGGAAACCCAAGGAACTTTCCTTCCCTGTGCTCATCCTTATTAAAATCATGCTTAAAAACTCCCTTGAGGCATGCTGGGGGCTGGCAGGGCGGGGACAGCACCTGGATGTGACACAGGTGAGGCAGCTCCTGCTCAGCCCCTCGGGCTGCTGGCAGCTCCTGGGCCCTCCTCCCCCTGAACGGGGGAGTTTCCACCAAAACCCCGGAGAGGCCCCAGATCCCTCCCCCCAGCCCTGCCCCGGGGCTTGGGGTGACAATGGGGACGTGGGGTGAGCGTGGCAGGGCTGTACTTACGCTGGGATCTCATTGCTCAGGTGGCTTGGAAACAGAGAAACAGTGACATTGAGAAGGGACAGACAGAGAGGGACAGACAGACACCCAGAGAGGGACAGACAGCAGCTCCACATGGACACACCCCCAGCAGGGCTGGGACACCGGGACTGGGACAGGCAGAAGGACATGGGAGCCTCCTGAAGGAGCAATTTCCAGCCTGGAGGAGCTCAGGGGGAGCTCTGCGCATTCCCAGAGGGAATTCCAGAATTCCAGCAAGAATTCCCAAGGACAAGGAGGAATTTCCAGCCTGGAATAGCTCTGCTCATTTCCAGGAGGCATTCCCAAGGACAAGGAAGAATTTCCAGCTCAGGGGGAGCTCTGCTCATTCCCAGAGGGAATTCCCAAGGAGCCGCACCTCCATGGCCACCCCAGGGTCCTCCCCAGCATGGGGTTGGGACAATCCCACGTGTCCCATCCCCGAGGGACAATCAGGATCCACCTCCACCCCACTGCCAGCCCCACAGCCAGGCCTGGAGCTGGGAATTTGGGGGAAACCAAGAGGGCAGAGCCAGGAACTTCCAGCCCCGTGTGGAGCTCCTGGATCCCAGCTTTTCCTCCCCAGACCAGCCCTGGTGGGGCAGGTACCTCTTAGTGATGCTGTTGTGGTACTCCAGGTACGTGCGGCCATCGAAGGCCACGGCCTCGGCGTCCCCTGCTGCCTTCTCGATGATCACTGGGGAGAGACAGGGA